TAAAAAATTTGAATAAGATATCTTGTATATATATAAAGTACTTAAGAACCAAATAGCTTAAGCTTTTGGATTCAAGTGGTATTTAACATGTATGTATGAGCTCTCCGGTGTATTTCTATAGGCTTTAAGTGTGACAAATCTCCTTAACAAATGGTATCATAATACATTAGAGTTGGTTCAAAGTTGGCAGAAAACTGGTCAAGAAAAGGTGATCAGTGTTAGGTGCTACTGGAACAAGAGTTAGCCTCCGGGAAGGTTTCAAACATGTTGGTGCGGGCATTCGTTCAGTTGGTGTGGGCATTTGTTCATGTGGTACAGGCATCCTAGGTTGTTTCTGTGCTCGTGTGTTGGTGATATGTCCCTTAGTGCACAAGGTGCAGGCATGCAAGAGTGCAAAATAGGTGTTCGACCAATTGCTGCTGTGGTGCTATGAAAATGCTGGCGTGGTGTGTAAATGTACAGACTGGTGCTTGATCGAGAGTGCAAGGTGTGCTAAGCCTGTGTGCAAATTGTGCCTGATTGTGTATGTGTGTGTTGGTGTACTATGCTGATAGAGAGGTGTGCTAGTTCGTTAGGACCAAGACCATATCACTAGAATGTGCAGAAGGTTAAAGTAATCCTTTTATCATTGTGCATTCATGACTAATAGTGTGTTTAAGGCTATGGCATGGCTAGGGAAAACCATACCGAAGGCTAGACTGAGGGCCTTGATGAGTGCCTACCTACAAGCAAGGCGAGGGAGGCTGGATTGAGAGACATGGTGATGTCCCTAGACACCCGACTGTAGAAGTGCGAGGTGACTATTACTGATTTGAGAGATAGGTTCAAGGACAGGGAATGATCTTTGAACAAGTCATTGGAGGTGCTTATGCAGTGGAATAAGGCATTGAAGGCCACAATGTCAACCTTGTGAGAGGAGTTAGCGAGGCTCAAGGTTGAACACACTGCATTGCGAGCTGCCATAGTTGTTGGTGTGGGCTTAAAACCCAAAATGGCAGTGCTTCAGCATTTTTTAAATGGTCAGAAGCTGGGGGTAAAGATTGTGTTGTATTAGAGTGGCACACAAAAGTCAAGTCGGGCCAATGTTGCTATGAAATCGAAGACTCAAGTTGAATGCACCAAGTCTTCAAGACCTAAAGGAAACGGCTAGAGTAAATGAGACATTGGTGTTTGTTCTTCAAGAGAAGAAAATGCTATGAGAAAGCTCATATTTCACAAAGTCAACAATGCTGCCAGCAGGGGCAAGTAAAAGAAGCCCTTGAATTGCTTTTGTATGGCAGTTAGCACAGGTTCAAAGAGTGCCTAAGGTATGTTAAGGCTTTTAACTATTAATTAGGTAAAGAAACTGTTCATAGGTAAGAGTAGTAATGATGATGAGCACCAAAAGGTGCCCAAGGTAATGCGGCTTGGTGCTTTTCAATTCTATCAAGAGGGCAGAACCTTTCCAAAATATGAGGGCAAAGTGGTAATAGAGTACCACAACATGAGTCCTAAGGTGTAACTAGATCCCTCCAAAAAAAGTGTGCGACGGATAACTCAGAGGAAGCAAAGGAAACATCAAACGTGTAGGCAAAAAAGACTAATGTAGTATAGGGCTGATGATAATTGGGAGAACAACCAACAAAGTACTTATTCGAGTATGGAACCGACACATGAAAAATTTGGTACAAGGGGTAGAACACGAAGTCGATGTTCATAAGGGCGTGCAATCCGGACGCATCATCCCCTTAGCAATGAGGGCATTGCTAGAATGAGTGGGGGAGAATGTCATAGTCCGAGGGAAGACTAGGCCTAATGGTTCTCACTAGACAGGGAGCAATTTTAAGGCAACCAAGACCAAGTCAGAAAAGCAAGGGAGACCAGGCCCAAAGGCACAATGGAGGTCTTAAGGGCATGACCATGACCCAGAATAGGTGTGTGGGCATTAAAACGAGCTCAAGAAGCTTAGGCCAAAGGATTCGGTTTGGCAACTTTTAGACAAACCCAAGTGCTGGCCCAATGAAGGGCCCCATGCGAGCACTGCTGAAGGAATCCAAGCTATTTCAAACACCTTTCTAATAGAGTCCATGTAAAATTAAAACTCTCTAATGTAATCCTATTGTAATGTCCTATATATTTGACTCTTTGTGAGCCCTAGGATAAAAACTATGTCAACCATTGATTCAAAAGGGCCTTAGTTATAAATAGAATGTGCCCTTACCCTCATTGTACACACACCACAACTTGAGTAATACAAGTTTACTTTGCCTATCTTTGTTGTTCTCTCTAGCTTTTTATCAAATAGTTTATGTGCAGTCTTGACTAGTAGTAGCCTGGGGCAGCTGGCCTTGAAAGTTTGAGTGTCCGTGCATTAGTCCAGTTGAAGGTTGATATGGGACACTGAATGAATCTATTCTCGAGTTGTGGAGCTACATGAGTCAGAGCTTGAGTCTTAGCCCTTAACAAGTGATATCAAAGCTCGTCAAGCTTGGACTCAATTATAGCACACAACCTAGGGAATGGCAAGGTTGAATGCTGAGCCTAAGGTGAGGCTAAGGTGCATCAAGGCCATCCAAGACATGAGGTTGCTTAGCCCAAATGAGGTATTGATGAACTTACTCACATGGGAGAGCAGAGGTGGGACTTGATCAGAACTCACGAGTGAACAGATGAGATTGTTGAGATAAAATTTTCATGTGAGTAAAGAATCTCGTATAACTAAAAAATCTGAATGAGATGTCCTATATATACATGAAGGACCTAAAAACCAAATAGCTTAAGCTTTTGGGCTCAAGTGATATCTAACATATATGTATGAACTTTCTGGTATGCTTTTGTGAACTCCAAATGTGACAAATCTTCCCCAACACCCTTATCCCAACTAAACTATGGCTCATTCCATATAAGAGGAGCCGGGTTGGCAACTAAGAAAGGTCCTTATTCTACACTGGTAGTACTCCTTTCAAGTTCCACCTTTCCTAATCAAATTGTTTGTTTATTGATGAAAAATACAAAAAGGAAAATTTTTTTGCAGCAAAAGTTGCATTACAAATTTGAAAAGTATTTTAGCATTGCTCTGCAGTTTACTTGCCTATTGAAACTAAAACCAACAACATTATGAAGCAGAAATGTATCGGGAAAATCCAATCAGAGAATAGTCTAAAAAAAGAAATGTAGCAGAAATGTTAAATTTTTTTATTGAATTTTTTATGATTTTTGTTTTGAATGACTATTATTTTTTTGAATTTTTGAGATTTCAAGAAAAAAGGGATTTTATAACTTTTTTAAATTTAAATTTTCATCAATAACTAAAGGCTTAGGGGTATTTTTGAGATTTTATAAATAAAAAATAAAAATAATTTTTATAATAAATATTAATTGTACTAAAATAATACCTATAAAATAGTTTATTAATTTAATTCGACGTTTTAATAGGATTAGTATTTATAAGCATAGGATATTATAATACGTTTGATACAAAATATTACGATAGAATAGGATAAAATAATATTATAAATATGATTAAATTAAATAATATTATCTTATCTTGCATTTAATGTATGCAAAGATTAAGATAAGATAATTTATTTATTGATCAAAATTATTTTTTCTAAAAATTTATATAATTTAAATTATTAATGTAATTTTTAAAAATATAATAGGATATATAAGTTCAATCCAATTGATTAAAAATAATAAACTCCATTTTCAAAGGATTAAATTATTTATACCAAAAAATGATTGATTATCTTTATAATCATATTCTTTCATTTACATACAAACTAAATGTAATATATAATAATTATTATTTTATTATATCTATCATCTTATACATTAAATATGATCTTAATATATATACATATATTATTTATTTATTTATGTCTATATAATATAATTATAAATATTTAAAATATATAATATTCATTTGAGTCGGATCTGAGTTGAGTTTAAACTTTAAAATGTTATATCCAAAACCCACCTATTATTTATACAATCCTAAACTTTAGCTCCTAACTTGTTTAAAAAGCTTAAAATTCATTCGCAAGCTCTCTTAAACTTTAGACCAACTTCGATAGTCCAACCGGACTAATGTCTGTAATTTTCGATTTACATTTTCTTTATTTTAGTCCTTCCCCGTAGCTTAACTCACCGCCAATGAATTCACTTTTGCGAGATTTTTTTTACATTCTTTTTTATGTTTATTTAGTTGAATTATAAGAATGTTACTATGAGGATTAGTGGAAATGCCTCTTAAAATTCTCTATATTGAGTATATTGATTGTAACTGTATGCATCCTCCATTAAATATATTTGTAATGCATATATACTTAACATGCTTATTAAAGGATATTAATACCAAATCGAATTTTACAGAACATACCTATCAACGCTGTTAATTACATTCGAAGTCCAACTGGGGATTACTGAAAAATGGAAATATGCACAGGAAACAACAAGCTCATTCTTAAACAGAGTTGCAAAGGGTTTTGCAAAGCACATCACCTGAAAAACGGTGATCATATTCTCTTCACTTCAGAAAAATAATAAACGGTTTCATACAACAATTTTAGAAGAAAAAAATCCTCGCAACATGTTTTTCCTTTCATTTAAAATTTACTATTTTTCTTCAAATCTACTTGCAAAGTTTTGGGAGTATCCAAGCTTAAATAAAGAATATTTATAAAGTTTTATTTATATGGAGTTGAAAAGAAAATATTAAATACTTCTGGGTAGCGAAAAGACTATCATTTAACCCAAAACGTGATCGATATCTTCCGCTGGGAACTTATAGAAATGGTTGGTAAGGCTAATATCATATCAATTCTAGCGGTGTGCAGACTTTGCTGATCAACAACTATTTCAGAATAGCCATGCAACTTGAATTCTCTGAATATAAAGAGCATTAAAGGAGCTTTCAATTTAGGATCACATGAACATATACACCAGGAGACCCTCGTATCGCTAAAACGTTAAACAAGCATGTAAAAAAGTAAACTGCCACGGGGCCAGAGATCCAGAGGAACACAATTCTGGAGGTTATATAATGATTTTCCTCGTTAAAATTCCATTTACAATTTGACATACGTACCAATCAAATAATTACATGAAAGATAATATTATTATTTCTATAAAGTCCGAAGGCCTACTGCTAGGCATCCTAGATTTTCAGATGCTTACTTTGACTAACCTAAATCAACGATTAAAGTGCAAAACCATGGGACAACTCATATTTTTACAAATCGAACATCATTCTGACCAAATGCAGTCCCACAGCCAGGGCACTTCCGATGGCGAATCTCTAAATTTCTCTGTATGCATGGATTGCAAAATAAATGATAGCATTTCACAATTACAACCTGCCAAATATAAAACAACATAAAAGAGGTTAAGTTCAATATACATACACATGATGAGAGAGGAAGCAGGCCAGCATAAGAATTCTCACCTCCTTTGGCCGGTCAAAACACACACCACATTTGAGAATATTCTTGCAATTTTTTATTTCATCCTGAAGCTTCTGTATTGCGGTCTCTCCAGTTTCAGAACTCAACTCAGCAACCTTGCTATTCAATTGACTGAGCTCTTCCTCAAGTTTCTTCCTCTGGCTTCTGGGAAACCCCCCCATTTCATCAGATAAGAGGCATTTAATTTGCAGGAATGCTAAACAAATTATTTAAAAGATGAAAAGGAAAATGGTACGTATGTGGAAAGGTCTAGAGTCTATAGTCTAAGGTCTCGAGGGACACAAATTATAATCTTAGGAAAGCCTAAGATGAAATGTGCCAGAATAAACGCCAAGGGCAGAGGTAAAAGCCTCGTTATTGTAGCAATTATTGACCATTATGACAGCCTGTCCCTCATCTTTCTTTAGGGCTAGTTTCCTTGCATATTATATGATAGGTGATACACTGCAGAGCAATGCTTTTTCAAATCATATAACATACATATAATCTTTTATCTTCTAATTCCACCAAAACATAATGCAGTTGATAAAGACATAAAACAATAAGCCTGGGAATCCACCAAAAAAGTAGAAAAGTAAACCCACCGTTCCTTATCCAACTTAACTTGGAACTCATCCACCTTCCGCGGGAGCTGCTCATAGTCCTTCTCAGAAGATGCTGCAGCAGATTTAAGCCACTTCAACTCCTTCTCAGCATCTGCCAACTCCCACTTTGCAGTTTCAAGGCTGATCATAAAATGTCTGTCCTCTTGAGTGAATTTAATAGCATCTGTCAGACAAACTTTCATCTGCAAGGTTTAAACTATAGGTTGATAAAAAAAATAAATACAAACAAGTAAAAACATTTAGAAGGAAAATTTTGTGAAACATGTTTTAGCAAATGACTAACTAATTTTACCTGCTCCTCACTTTGTGCAATCCTCATTTTCACAGATTCAATTGATGAATTGACCTGCTGAAGTTGCCTAGCTAATGTCTGCTTCTCACAGAGAAAGGAAGTATGTGCCTGCTTTGTCTTTACACTCTCAGAGACCAGCTGCATTTATTACAAAAGTGGCCAAAGCATCAAGACCAGATAATTGAAACTACTTGACAATAGAAAAAGAAAGAAAAAAGAATCCAAGTCAATAGACCTTAATATTGTAGTCATCTCTCTCAGTCATCTGCTGCAGCAGATGCTGGTTCTGTGTCTGCATATCTTCATATGCCTGACCAATGGTCTGAAAAGAAAAATAAAAGAGATTTCTCATCATGGGGACAAAGAAGAGGCAGAAAATGGCATTAGTACCCAAAAGAAAAAAAAAAAGGCAGCTCTAGAAATTCAGTAAAAATGAGAGTAGGGTGGCCAGGAACAAAAAATGAACAAAAACTACTTTTCCTAAGGGAAAGGAATTGAGAAGACACCTCAATTTCAGAAATGTATGTCTCTGACTCTCGATCTTTACTTTTAATAGCCTCCGTGAGTTCCAAAACATCCCTGTGTTTTAGTCGCATAAAATAGTTAGATAACACTATTAAATGGAAATTTTGGGAAATGAAAGGAAACAAGTCATGAAAATAGAAACCAAACACTTATATTAAATAACTCCACCAGCTCTTACTTAAGTGACACAAAAATTTCACACTAAAGATGAAGTAACAATTTGGATCATATCATCTATGGACATAAGCATTTTACTTATTTACTCTTTAGGGAAATATCAAATGGCTCTAATGTCTAATTTCTTAGACACATCTGCTAAGGTGAATTAACCATTTTTAGCAGTCTTATAGAAATTATGGCATTGCTTTGATTTAAATATGACTTCATCTCCCCACATCTAAAAGATGCTATGTGGCCATAGATTTAAAGTAAAGCATAGGACATTAAAGAAGAGATAAACATAACACTCTCCATTCTTAATGAACTAAATAAACAAACCAAAATAAAAAGGAAAGTACTTCGCCACAATTTATTTAGAACTTCTAACGTAGAACAAGTTGGGAGTAGAGGCTCTAGATTAAAGAAATCTAGAGAGAATTTCAGAAATAGACATCATAGAGGAATCAGGGAAGAAAAAAAAAAAAACTGATAGAGAAAACCAGAGGCTAAAATATTAAAAACAACCTTTATACTTTTTTCAAATTTCTTAGATAAGCCCCTATTCTTCTATTGTACCCAATTAAGTCCTTAAAGTATTATTTTTGTACAATTAAAGTACTATTTCGTTTGATTAAGCCCTTATTTTGTATGAAAACCACTAAAATTCATTATTTCCTGTCACATCAATGCCTATGTGATCGATATCTTTGCCACATTAACATCTATTAGGCAAAAAAGGACTATGCAGACATCAATAACCCTAAACCCATAAAATATAAAATAAAATCCTAGATAGTTTAATCCCTCAACTAGCATATTTGCATCCTCCATCATTCTCCCCTATTTGGAGAAAACTCAACCTCCAGTTTCAAAAAATCAAAGCAAGAGAAATTTCCAGCAAGACACACAAATAACAGTGTCAAATCTCAACTTCATTAGTGGCATAAACATCTTTAACAAAGCAACTTGCACCTCATCTTTTAGGACACTTGGAATGATGAAGTCAATGGTAGAACTATCATCAATAACAATGGGCATAATCTCATTAATTGGACGAATAAACTAAACAGATGAAGGATATTCACTAGGAACCACTTGAACAAACTCTTCATGTTTTCAGACAGCCACAAATTTAGTTTTGCAAGCTACAGATTCAGCATTCTCATTAAGCAAATCATGTTGCAATAACTCAACAGATTCTATCTCACACATCTCATCACTTAAACCCTCTTCTACAAGTTTATTCTTTACGGCGTCAAAAGCAAGGGATATTGCTCACAACTGTAACATCATAAACACGTTTTTCCTCAAACAGGATCTTTCTTCTCAGACACATTGGAAGAACAGTCTTGAGAAAACAACCTTGACAAGAATCAAATGATTTTCGAAATTGTCCCAATCCATCACATACATCACCGAATGCCTCTTTTGTTTCATCAAGTCATTACCTACTTTAATGCATCTTTTATTTCCATCAATTCATCGTAAATAAGATTTGATTTCCCATTTTTCAGTTTTCTCTTACTCTGATGTATATAATCTTTGAAATCATTGTATTCATCAAAGAGTAACGGACAAGGATTTTCAGACCCATGTCTATCTCTCAAAGAAACCAACTCTTGTAAATGTAGCTTCATAAATATCACATTCCAAACTCTCAACCTACTTCCAAGTGATCATGTACCTAAAACTAAAGATTTATAAACTGAGCATGAAAATTCTGACCTTTACCAGATGAATCTTGCAAAACAGACCTTAAAATTGGAATCAGGACGTTAAAATTTGCAAAGAAGGAAGTTCAACAAGAAAAGTGCTGATTTGGCCGTCAATGCTGATGAGGCAGGTGATGTCAGCAAGCTGACAAAGCAAAGCTAGCACATGACCCAGAAGTGCCGTGAATTGACCCAATGCATGCGGTAGCAGATGGCAACAAAATTCTTGTGCATCATGATCAGAGACAAACAGAATGAAGGCCTGGTGTCTCTTTTGAACAACTAGACCAATGTAGATCCACCTTTAAATGCAGTTTTCTTTTAAATCTTTTTTCCCTAGTACAGCAACACAAATGATGGCAGAACTTTCTGGGATTACCACTCAGCAGCTAACAAGGCTTTCTACAGTGACGGATTGGAGATCAGAAGGTTGGACGGTGGTGAACTGGATTTTCTCCGTCTCTTTTTTCCTTGGATGACTCTGGAAATTCCTATTTCACATTTTGTTTCCTAAACAGAAGCGATTTTTTTTTCCTCAAAGAAACATGGCTGTATTTTTTTTAAGGCAAAAACAAAGAAAAAGATAGACGCAAAAAGTTATCCTGAGCTCTGATAGCAAATGATATAGGTCAACTAGGGAGAAGAGATAGAATCCAAAAATCTAGAGAAAATTTGAGAAATAGACAAAATAACTAACGGAGGAGGAATAGAGGAAATTGGGGAAGAAACAGAATACCTAAGTGAGAAAACCAGAAAAGAATCAACAGGGAAAGAAAATCACAACACTCAAAATCAAAATAACTCAAATATTCATAATCTAAAACCTCCTTAAAACTAAAATTATGTAGATATTAACAACTAATACTAAATGCCTAATAAAATGCAAAATACTAATTATAACCCTAATACTTGGAAAAGAAGTAAAATACTGATTAATATAAATTTAATTAAATATCTATAGAAGTTACAATTGAACCCCTAAAATATAAAATAAACTCCTACATAATTTAATTTCCCAACTAGCATATTTGCATCCTCCAACTTCTTTTCAATCAAATCAATGCCGTTGCAAACCAAGTAACATCCAGGTAACACCATTTAGAAAGAAACCAGAAACTAGAAAAGAACAAACCTCTCAGAAGCATCCAGTTTAGCTCTTAACTCAGCTATTTCAGCTTCAGCAACCGAAAGCCTTTCTTGGCAAGCAGCCTCGGCCTCATTAGCTGCTTTCACTCTCAGTTCTAGACTATGTTCATCCAAAGCATTTTTCAAGACTTCAGTTTGTGAATGAGCTCTGCTTTCTGATTCTCTTATTTCCGTCAAATCTCTGAAATTTAGGTTGGGAACCAAATTTATTAATAAAAAAAAGCCATATGCAACCAAAAGGTAGAAGCAAGAGAGAAAAGAAAGATTCCTAAACTAGATAAGTTATGTGAATTACATTGTAGAGAAGAAAGCATAACTAATCGTTAATGCAAAAGATTGAGTAGCTCAAACTATATCGTACATCCCAGCTCACAATCTGAGAGAACCCACTAAGCCACGGAACTTCAATTTCAGAATCACTTCAGATTCTTACTTTTGCATACAAAGAAGCAGGAACTGCACATTTAAATGCAGCAACAAACGAAACAAATATGTAACATGCAACTTGAAATATTTTACCACTTGGGGATTAACTATGAATTGAACTTAAAATTCTGAAGTTTCAGCTTTGCAAGAGGATTACTACAACTCACACACATCCCGTTCCTTTATTAGCACATCATTTCCTTCTGAATTTCAAGAGAATCAATTATAGGTTTCTTTCACTTCAAGAATGACAGACAACAGAAAATGCACAAAGAGTGATGTAAGACAGGATTTACACAAAAAGCATGTCAGATGAAGATTTAACAAAAGATCCACAGCTTAAATAAGATAGAATTAAAAAAATTCTCTTCTTTATTCCCTTCCCTTTCTTTCCCCGTGTGTCTCAAGAAGGTCTACTCAAAGTAACATACCTATTATCATAACCTTCTTGGCCGTACATGTCCAAGTAGATTTGGAGCTCCAATTTTTCCTTTTGCAATTTCTCAATCTGCAACAAGTTTATATTTTCGATTAATGAATATCAATTTAAGTCATATCCATAAGATTTCTCAAGATATTTTAGTATGAATCGTTTTGACTATGAATGCGCGCAACAAGGGACAAAAACAGAAAACTTTGAAAAAAAGCAAATGTAAAAATTCTTATATTTCAATAGTCATCAAAGAAAATAAAAAACACTCACATATAAAAAGCAAAGGTAGCTAGAATTTCTTGCAAGGCTGGGGTTCTAGCTCCAGCTCCTGCATTTCCCCTTCCCCCGGTATTATAATGAACATAAAAAACTAGCTGGAATTAACAAAATAATAGACAAACTCACCAAATCATTGAGAGATTTGATTTCCACAATCTGTTCAGCACACTCTTCTGCCAAGCGCTTTTGTTGGTTTGTCTATTGGAAATTTTAGAGAAAAGTTCATTTATTAGAGATTGAGCAGGCCTGAGCTACCAACATGCTTAAATTTTAGACAATTAGCACCCAATAAGTTCCAAACATTGAAAACTCAAATATTATATCTAATTTTCTTTATTCTATTCCTAAAATTTAAGAAATATAGATCCATTTTATTGAAGATCACAATCTCTTCAAATTACATGCTTAATAATAAAATAAAACACAAATCAAGAAGGTATATGACATTGATAGAAGAATAAAAATCAAAGACAGACCTGAGCTACCAATATGCTTAAATTTTAGACAATTAGCACCCGATAAGTTCCAAAACATTCAAAACTCAAATATTAAAACTAATTTTCTTTATTCTATTTATTAAATTTAAGAGATATAGATCCATTTTATGAAAGAACACAATTTCTTCAAATTACATGTTTAATAATAAAATGAAACGCAAATCAAGAAGTTATACAACATTGATAGAAAAATAAAAATCAAAAACCACATGGCTGGATACAAACAAACAAACTCAATGTTTCAAAATGATATTCTATCAGTCAATCAAGTTCCACCACTTGGTATAAAAGTAACCAGTCACAGTTATCTCAAGTTAGTCAACAACTTTCACTGCTAAACATAATTGACATGATAAAAAAAAAAAAACCATTTACATACATTTGATCTATATATGGCCACTTTCAAATTGTTATTCCCCCAAAAAAACCAATAAGTAGAAGATAAAACCTTATCACTTAATAAAGCTTTTAGCACTTGGGCTTCTTCACGCAAGGAAATCGCTTCATGTGCAGTCTCCTTCCAGCGATTCAACTGACCTTCCATCATTCCCATTTCCTTGGACAGAGCCGATGCCATCACACGAAATTCTGTTTTAATATCATTTCTTCCTGAAAAAAGGTAGCATTTCAATAAGCCAAAAGATCCACCATTTTCCACCTTAAACTTAAACATGTAAAATATTCCTGCTTATTATTTGACCTCCATCTTGGATAGCTTCTTCCATTTTAATCTCAAGATCATTTCTTTCTAGGATACACTTTTGAAGCTGCAGCTCCAGTTCAACAATTCTAGAATCAGCATTATCAATTGTATTCCTAGCAGCATCTGCTGAATCAGCTTTTATATTCAATTCCTTCTCCCTCCTCACGACAAGAAACCTGTCAGTCTGAAATTATACTTTCAAAACAGTCTAAAAAGTATACAAACTTTCAAAGCATATCAAATGTAGATCAAGCAGCTTAACCTGCAAAGTTTCAGTGAGTGCTTTGTATTGTTCCATTTCAGCATCCCAATGCTGGAGCTGATCGTTTAACAATGCGTATAGCCGAGATGATCTTATGAATTTGTCATCCTTCAGTTCATTCTAGAAGAACAAAATCTTTTTTAAATTACTAGAACTGCAGCAACATTCAATTTTCAATTTTCAACTAACAAGAAAATCAATTTTCTGAGGTCAATATTCCAAGCAAACCTGAAGATCCTTCAGTTGTTTTGAATAGATTAGGTTCTGTTCCTGTGCATCTTGAAGTTCAGAAAGTCGATCTGCTGCCACTATCTGTAGCACTTGTTTAGTAACATATCCTACATGATTAGTCACACAAGGGGAGAGTGGTTTAGAAAAACTCAGTTATGTAAACCAATACCTTTGTCTCCTCAATTGAATCCTTTATCTCCCGCAAGCCCATTGTCTTATCTGCAGGCTTTTCTGGTGACAAGTTGCCATTTGCTGCAATCGGAGATAATGCATGCATCCCAGATGCTACATTCTTCTGCATTTTCAGATTGACTAGTTTTCTTCTGCTTTCTTCGAGTTCAGTCATGATTTCTTCCAGCTCACCTTTCAGTATTAATAAATTATTTACAGCTTTAATAAACAATCATAAGAAGACACAAAAAACAAACAGAAAATTTTGGCACTGGCTAAAAATCAGCCAGGTTGCCTGCATACAGTGATTCTGTCAGTATCCAATTTGCCATAAAAAATTGCATTTGTACATATTAGGAAGTTATTGCATGCATCTTTATCCAATTAATAGGGATAAAATACAAATATCTTCTATAAGAACCAGTAGAGACCTTGAAGACGTTTAATCTCAGATTGGTCAGTTGAATGGCTGCTTATATAAGTTTGAATCTCATCAGCATATTGTTTATGCTTCAAATGTAGAGTGTCAATCACAACACACAAAATTTTAGCCTCCTCCTTCATCATATCATCAATCCTAGATAGCTGCACAATGGTGTCTAAAAGAAGTAATATGTAAATAATCAATATAAAACAGCAGACAGAAGTACTAAATAATGAAGAAAATAGCTAAAAAATTCATGGAAAACATAAAAAGAAAGACAAATCACTAAACAACTGAAATAAAGATATCATCTAACCTTCAACAGATAATTTTCCATGCAAAGAAACAGCCATGTTCTCAGTTTTCTCCCTTTCAGAAGAGATAGTATCCTCCAGAGATTTTATCAACTCCCTAGTGGATGCATGGCGAGAAGATAGGACTTGTTCAACATAATTAGAAATCCCATCATCACCACTACTATCAAGAAAATCTGTTTCTAGAAGCCTACAAAGAAACATATCCTCCACAGGGCATGATGGAATGGAACCTAAAGAGTAGCTCAAGTTAATCTATTGTAAATTTGAGAGAACTTGTATTTAGAATTTATTAATATTAAAAGACATAGGACTACCTCTCCAAACTCCCAAAAACACAGACAAAAAAATTGTTCAACAAATAATTAAAGTTCTGATTCAAACCTCGAGAATGGTCTGCATGGTCCATGATTTCCAAAGCATTATGGCCTCCTCCAGCTCTTACTCCAAGCAGGATCAAATCATCAACCAACTATACAGCAGAAAAACAACATAGTGTAAAACTAAAAAAACAAATCATGACGATTACAAAAGATACAGCAGTAAAAGAACACCATGCAAACATACCTGATTCCAAAGTTGATTCACATTTATCAACATATCATCATAGGAGGTTTGCTTGTCTTTTAATTCTTTAATTTTGCTTTCAAGTTTAAGCAAATCATGTTTCTGAATATCTAACTGCTGGACAAGTCTTTGATTCTGGTACTGGAGAACTGCTGCATCAACCTGGATAAAAAAATCCCTCTATATCAAGTGAAATGTATAAGAGAATTGTATAAAACACACAATCATACACACCAGAAAAAATTTTAAAAATTGACTTTCTGAATTTTAAATTTACTTCACATTTTTCATCAGCCATACACATTGGGGGTGTATGTAGCAATATCATAGTAACAGTAAGATAAAAGAAATCAGAGCTTGGGTTAAAAAGTGAAAGACACATTCAATCAGGAGGCAGAAGACATTATCTCTCCACATGAAATTGTGCCTAAGATTGAATTAACTTATGCAAAGGGCCTAGCTGCTCAAACCAGCAAATTGTGCAAATTGGAAGTGGTTAAATGGAGCCCAAGAATATTATTAGATACTTAATGAACTGATTCATGACAAATCTAGGAATGGCTTGAAGAAAAGAGACCACTGTATAACTAAAAATTTGGGGAAAATTTTTAAGTTCTGAAATAGATGCATATAAGAAACTCAGATAATTCAACATGATGAAAAAAAATCACATTTCTCTACTTTACAGTGTTTCCATTCACATAGACAGCACAGAAATTGCAGCCGCAGGAATCCACTGTTAGTGCAAACTACTGAAATTATCCACCATTACCCGCTCAATTTGATCACAACTAGAATTGCATAACCTTAGTGGAACACTTTAGTGAAAAAGATCAAAAAGTTAAAAACTTTAATTTCGGTATGTAACCCTACATCTGCACGTCTGAACCAACAAAAGCATATCAATGCCATACTAATTACGGTTAAGTCCTTAAGAGAAAGAACCCTGTTTTAGTGTTCTAATAAGGGAGAATCCAGTTTTACCGTGCACTACTTCTTATCCACCATTACGAATTCAATTAAATCACAATTGGTCCAAAAATTGAAAAGGTAAAAATTTTAAATGCCCCTCCTATTCCAATACGTTCTAGACGACACAGATATATCATTTGAAATTAAATTTGAGAATAACCCAGAAATTAACAGATACATCTGAGCACGACAGTTATGGCAGGCATAAATTTTAGGGTAACTTTGTATTTTTAAGCAGTCGAAAGTAATATCTAAATATTCAAAATTTCAGTTGTCATTGGTTCTTCCTGGCGACAGGACAAATAGAAAGCTATTCCAGAGTCAACAGTAATTTGAGAAGAAAGGACAGCTGAAAGTAAAAGAGCAAATAAAATCATGCAAAACCCTTAACTTGAGAAGGAAACTAAAGAGAAACATAAAATAAAAAATTTGAGATAAAGAGAGATTACGGATTTGGTATGGTTGGGAGAAGCGGAGGAGTTACGAGCCATGGCTGGAGAATCCAAGTGAAGCCTCTTCTTCTCTGGTTCTTCCGATTCAAAACTTTCCATTTACTAGAGTTAGTATTGTTATTCCCCTCCCCTCTCTTTCACTCTGATTTACACTTTTGCCACACCATCACATGTCCATCATCCTTCTCAAACCCTAACCAAACGCAAACTCTTCTCACTGGGAGACAGACAGAGATCCCAATACCTTGCTTTTCAGAAGAAACCAGAAGAAATGAATCGGCACACTTCAAAATTATCCTTGGGCTTGGGCCTTATGGCTCTCCAACCAAAATTCCCCAATTTGTAGTAGTCCTTCCACACAATAAATTTAACTCGTGCCACCTCCCACCCAATCAGATTTTTTATTTTTCTAATTTTTATTATATTTAATAAATAATTTTATTTTCTTTAATTTTTGTTTGGTTTCGTTTAATATTTTTTATTAGAAAACTTTTTTATATTTTTTAAATTACATAATTTTTTAAGAAAATGATACCAATGAAAATATTAATGTGGCATCCAATTTTTTTTCTGTTTTTCCCTTTTTTATTTTTTTATATTAAATTTTTTATAAAAAAAATTAATCGAACTAACTGAATTAATTTTTGTCAGTTAATTTTTAAAATTAAGAATTCGATTCGATTAATGAAAATAAAATAACATAATTTGGTTAATTCGATTTTGAGTAATTTCATTTGAAATTAACTAAACCGACTGAATGAACACCTCAAATTAGAGGTAAGGATGACAAAACAATATATTTTCAATAGATTGCAATTCATCTCAATCTAAAAGAAGTGCTTTTTAAAATTCAAGATCAAGTTAAGTTTTTCTTTTTAAAGATTAAGGTCAAGTCAAAAGCAGATTTAGAATGTTTCGCTCTACTTCAGTATATATAAATATATATATTTTTATTTATGTTAGTTATATATTATGTGTTATATTAATAAATTATTATTTAATACCTTAATTTAATAAAAATATTATATTTATACAAAATTAAGATGTAATTTATATTCAAAATTTTTTATAAATATTGTCAGCTCAAAGACTTGAATTAGGCCAAGAAAGAGTAAATTGGTTGATTATAAATGTTTCAAATTTAATATCCAATAAACATAAAATTCACAAATCAATTTTTCTAAGTAAAAAAACACAACAAATATAAGTATACTAATCATCTTAAAAGCAAAGATATAGAAATAGAGAATCAAACATCAAAATTTATAGAGGTTTGGTCCTTCCTTTAGACACCTACGTCTTTTCCTTTACCCTCACTTGCCAATAAGTCAAATCCACTATATGTTAAATGTTACAACCTAGCTTTTCAAAACTTTATACAATCAACAACACAATCCATTAAGGGTCATCCTCTCCCTTAAGCTCACAACCTCACAATACAAGTTTTGAAGTGTTTTGAAAACTCAAAGAAACTCTTTAAGGTTGGGTACTTGCTAATTTGAAGTACAAATCAAGATTAAGAAGAATATCAAGAGAAAAACAAATACAATAAGAATTTATGCACTTTTCAAACCAAAAAATGTTCTCTTAATGCTTGGAGAAAATGATAAATGGAAGAAATAAGTTTTCTTAGCTCTTAATACTTTGAAATGTGATGGGAGACCTCCATTTATATGTTGAGATTAGAAAATAGTCATTGCTTGCATTAATTGTTTGGAGCCTCTACAAAATTTTAGACAAAATAGTCATTGCTTGCTTTTAGGCACTAAGGGATCGATCCCCTTATGTAAGGGATTGATTAGGTTAGTTAAAATACAAATAATTTTTTACATATAAAGACATACCCAATCAATCCATACTAGGTACCAATCAATCTTTTTTTTAGGTGATCAATCCGTTTTCATGTTTTGAAACCAATTTTTCATTTTGATTAAAAAACCAATCAATCCCTATAGGGAAGGGATCAATCTTGTCCTTGAAAACTTGTACCAATCAATCCATACAATAAGAGGACCGATTAGTTTTCATGAAAACTACACGCAATACCTTTCTAGCTAAAAAATCAATCGATCCCTTTGAAAAAAGATCAATCCCCTTTATGCAATTTTGGCCAATTTTGTTATTAAAGTATGCCAGATGAATTGAACACTTTTTTACTAGACAAAAAAGCTAGAAAAATATTCAAATTAAGTTCAAATCATTTTAATTCAATTTCAGCAATTTTTTGTTTTGTCATTTCAAAATACTTTATCAATTCAAGGCTAATAATCTCCTTCCTTTTAATATGACAAAACCAACAGATAAAATTTGTTTTGAAAACTTTTTGTTTCTTTGAAAAAGTAAGCTCCCCTTGAATTTAACCATGATTAACAAAATTAAAAGGCCATTTTTCAACAAGCTTTCAACAATTATACAAGGTCGAAGTTTTCTCTTTTCATTAAGCAAATCATGATATCAAAAGCATTTATAGGACATAGACACAAGCAATATAACAATTTAGCAAATTTTCATAATACACAAACTTCTCCCCATTTTTGTCATAGAAAAAAGTATCCAAGAGCATTCATTTAAACCCCACAAAGTCAACTTGCTCAATCAATTCAAGGTAACAATACCATAATTAATGCAAGGCTAATATCATTGAGTCTCAATACTGTAACCCACCATAGCATTATAATATTAAGAATGAACATAACCACAATAGCACATTCATAGCAACACAATCAAGTACAATAAACTTTGAATCTCAAAGCCACACAATCAAGCACAATATAAAAAAATTCATGTGATTAAAGATAAATATGCAAAGTACCAGAGTTGATACTATAAATAAACTGTCTTTTAGAAAATTAAAAAAAAAACATAAAAACATAAAACACAATGTAGGAAAAACATTTAGGCTTAGCTTAAAGGATAGGTCAAAATAAAGGAGGATAACGAGAAAAATGATGAAAACGCTACTTTATTTGCTCTTGTGTAGTCTGAATTTGTCCAAAATCAATCCTGACTTGTTAAACTTGTGAAACCAACTCATTTTGGGTTACTTCCGTATCTTTTTATCTAAAGTTCATATCACCAACCAATGAGTGTAAATTGTTCATTTAAGTTATAAGAATTTGTAAAGCTCATTGGGTATCAAATGGTAGACTAAAAAGACTTTCTTGTGGAATATCTTGTGGAACATGTTGTGGAATATCTTGAACCTTATGCTTAATTTTAAGTTCACTTTTCTTAATCCACACACCAGTAAATATCCCATACGATAAAGTGTTTAAACTCCAAGAATATTAGTAGGATCGAAAATAATCTCTCCATTACTTCTAGTATTGATACCCAACCTTTTTAATATATTGCTAATGACTATCCCATATACCAAAGTGTAGTCCTTATTCTAAACAACCCTCATTACATCATTAAAAATGAAATGCATAAGATTTGGTTTCTTCTCATATTTAATCTTATACATCCACCAATAATCTTATTTCCTAATGATGAAATATTGAGTTGCAAAAGATGCTAACAATTACGTGATGATAAGATGAAACAATCTATCATGCATAGTCAACTTAAAAGCCTAAGTTGGAACAATCCTCAAATCATCATTCTCAAAAATATCTTGGGCCAATCCAAGTATATCACACCTAGTGTTTGTGCCTCTATTATCTTATAACATGAAAGCTTCAGCCAATAAGTTCTTGTCCATAATTATTTCTTTACCCATTACAAATGTCCTAAATTTGTTAGTATAATACCTATTTCCATGTCCATCAACTTCAATACAATTTGCATTATTATAAAATACCCGAACTAAATTCTTAAAGATAATTCCATCTAAGCTAAAATAGTTCATCCAACCAAGATCTTTAAAAACATGTAAATATGGAAATTCAATGGATTAGAGGAAATTAAGATTAATTACCTTTCTTTGCTTGACTTCTCTATGAGTAAAATAAGTCTTATATCTCTCATTTGCTGCAAGATTCTCAAAATTTTGATTAAATGAGAGATTCCCCTTGGTGGATTTCTCCTTATGGCAAGAGGGGATCATGTTTTAAGTGCCAAGAGAAATTTTGAATAAAGAAAATAGGTAGGCTTTAGTGAAACTGATGAGGAAATTTATGAATGTAGGTGATAAATAGTAATATATGCTTAAGAAAGGCAAGAAATTTTAGTGAATGATGAAGTTTTAATAGAGGCACAAAAGATGATCAAATTTTAAGAGAGAGAAATGTAAATGAAGGATTTTGTGTGATTTTAAGAATTTTTAAAGAAGATTTTGCAAGAAATCAAATAGATATGAAGTAATTTGCAAGAAATTTCTATTAAAAGTGATGAGTTTTAAGAGAATTTGAGAGAAATTAAAAAGCTTGAATACCTAGGGTTTAAAGAGAGAATTTTAGGGAATAAAAGGTGAATAAGGTTGACTAATGAAGAAAGAAGAAAAACTAGTTTTTAGAAAAGCTCAAAATGATGCGCATAAGTGAAGTCAGCCAAAAGAATCGATTCGATCTTATAATTTATGTTTTTGATGAGCCAACCATGGACTGATCGATTAGGACCTAAGGGGATTGATTGGGTCATGTAATTCTAAATGAATTTGGCTACTGAAAGAAAAACCAATCAATCTGTTCCTCTAGGATCGATCGGTTCACTGGTAGCAAATTTTTTTAAGTGAATTTTGAAAGATTTTTTTTAATTAATATGCATGCAATATAACTATTTAAATATGCACCAAATAATCACAAATATGATCATAAACATGTTATCAAATGTATACAAAAATAAACATGCATTTATTTAAACAAGACATAAATATATCAATTTATTAAGAATTGCATTTCAAAGAGTATTCATTATACTAAGTTCACCTCTAATTGTATAAAATCTATCTCTATCAAGAAATTTTATAAAAATATCAACTAATTAATGCAAGGTTTCAACATATTCAAGCACAACATCACTCTTTTGAACATGATCTCTAATAAAATGATGTCTAATTTTAATATACGTTGTTTTTAAGTGCTGAATTAGATTTTATTTGAGATTAATGGCACTAGTATTATCACATTTAATGAGAATGTGATCCATGGTAATCTCAAAATCTTCTAATTATTGTTTAACCTACAAAACTTGAGCACAACAACTATCGATCACTACTAATTCGACTTCGATTGTAAATTAAGCAACATTATTTTGTTTCTTAAAAAATCATGATATGAGCATATTCCCTAACAATTGACAAGTACTAAAAGTGCTATTTCTATCAATTTTACAACCATCAAAATCTGCATTGGAATAAGCATCCAAAGCAAAAGATGAACTTTTAGATACCATAAT